TTGAATTATTCAGGATTACCAGCAAACATTTTCCCTTGAAATCCCGCATTCCAATTTTTTTCTGGTTAGCATCATGAAGAAATTGTGGCCCACTTTGCTCAAACAAAGGCCCATCATTGCTGTCGCATGTGTGGCTTCTTCAAGCCTAAAGTAATATAGTATCAATTCGGATATCCATCTTTTTTGTCTAACTGGAAGAGTCTTGTTGAGTTAACTGCACAAAGTTTATTGCATTACTGCAAGCATTAATAGGTTACATGAATATGACCTATGATACTACAGAGAGTAACTTTGGAGTAGAATAGCCTTCCTACCAGTGCCCATGACATCTACACAAGGTGCTGATGTTTACTGCAGTCAATCTAGTATTCACCTTTTGAGACCTTTGTACATAAGTAACAAAAATAATACGTTGAACACAAGGCACTGTTTTCATTTTGAAAGAGTGAAGGAAATCACATCATCATGATATCAAAGCTTCACAAAGTATTTCAACCAATGAAGTAGTACTGAAGTGTAGGCACAGTTTTATTGTAGGGAATGCAGCACAAAACGCTCCCACAAATGGAAATTATAACTGGATCATCTATTTTAAGAGAGGTTGATTGAAGGTTAATATTGGTCAGGACATGAGGAAGACATCCCCTGCTCTTCATTGAAATAGTATGATTGGATCTTTAACATTCACCAGAGTAGACAGAGGTTTCAGTTTAACTGGAATAGCATTGCAGATTGTTGTACTTAATTTGCTGAATTGAGAACTGAACCCACAGCCTTCTGGATCAGAGGCTACCCACTGAGCCACAGCTGGCATTTTGTGGATGTAATTGCATGAGGATAATTCACAGGATCTTTGTATGGATGAAGTTTACGTTATTTGAGTGTTGCAGATGATGATTTCATATACAAGGCAATCTTTTGAAGATTATGAATTATAAAAATTACCAAAGTAAGTTAGGCTTGAATCTATGATTGAACGCCTCAGACATTAATTCGTCTCTTTTAATTCCAATGCAATTAATGTAATTTATAATACTAATCGCCAAGAAATCTAGGCCAGGTTTCCATCAGTCCAGTCACAATTCCTCCATGGTAACAGATGGACATTCAATCTCCTGCCAGCAGGAAAGCACTCAAGCACATTTTGAGACCATGTCAACACTGAAGAATATAAGAAATAGAGCAAAAGAAAAAACGGGAATAAAAGGATATGGAACCAGTGTGAAATATACATAGGGTTTAGGTTATAATTTGTGCGGAGTATAAACACTAGGAACGACTAAGACCGAAAAGTTTATTTCCAGGTTGCATTTTTAAATCTAATTATTTGTCTCCTGATGAACTATTCATCTTAATCTCTTTAGAGACTTTTAAGCGACTCTTGGCTAGGCACATTGAGGATAGTAAAATGTAGGGTATGCAGCGTAGATTGATCTTAGTAGGATAATAGGTTGGCACAACATCGTGGGCTGAAGGACCTGTACAGTGCTGTACTGTTCTATGTTCTTAATCTAAACTCCAGGTTTTAAAAAAAAAGACAAACTATCACAGACGTCAACACATACTTTGAGCTTTAAAATCTCAAAAACAAAACCCTTCCAAAAACAGGGGTCGACTTAATATGTACAGTGTAAAAGTGAACTGCTAGCATGGATGTAGGTAATCAACACTGTGAAATGTCATCAGCATCTAATTAAAAAGAGTAGGTGTGTCTTAAACTACTGCAACTACAGCCGTACGGCCCTCACACAGTTATGAGGGAAGTAAGAGATACATTTGCAGGCTGTAAAATAGAGGTTGACTGCTATTATAATCCTGCCTGGTGTTACTACTGGACAAGTAAGATTCCAGAATGAAACCTGGCTTGACAGATCTTATTATTTTAACATTCACTTAATCATTAGCAAATAAGGCTGCAGATTCTCTTTAACAATTAATTTATCTCCTCTGCCCAATCCAAGAATGCTGAAGCCTCCTGGCAAAGAAAAGTTAACTCAGAGCAGAGATCTTCCTATTCAATATGTTTGGTACAAATTCTTTTACTCTTCGTAATATGGGATGCGCAGTAAATGCAACCTTCCCAGGTTTATTCACAACCCGAGGATTAATAAATGAAAGAAACACTGTCAAAGAGCAAGTTTGAATACAGTCTTAAAATTTTGCCAGATTAACATTACTGTGCAATAAATGTTTTCACTTGTGATACTTTTGGTTTGAATCATGCCAACAGTGCTTACAGGCAGCACAGTGGCTCTGTGTTAGCACTGCTGCCTCAGAGTCAGGGACCCAAGTTTGATTTCACCCTCGGGTGACTGTCTGTGTGGAGTTTGCATGTTCTCCCTGTGTTTGCGTGCGTTTCTGCTGGGTACTCTGGTTTCCTCCCACAGTCCAAAGATGTGTGAATCAAGTGGATTGGCCATGCTAAATTGCCCGTAGTGTTCAGAGGTGTAGGTTAGGCGCATTAGCTACGGGAAATGCAGGGTTACAGGAATAGACGAGGGGAATGGGTCTGGGTGGGTTTGCTGTTCAGAGGGTTGGTGTGAACTTGTTGGGCTGAATGGCCTGTTTCCATGCTGTATGGATTTTAAGTATTGCTCACGTTTTCTGGTTCAGCTTTTGATGCCAAAAAGGGACAGGTATTATACATTGGTCAAACCATTGAAGATGAATGTTTCGTAACCAGCTTGGACTCAATGGGCCAAAGAGTCTTTTTCCATGATGTAAAGACTGTGTAGGTACATAACACTCAACATTTCAACAGTGGGCTTTCACGATAAATCTATTGGGCACTGTTTTAATGTGAGCAATTATTCTGCAGATTTCAGAATCTCTGTGCAGGACTTTACCTTTGCTTCGGGACTTAATTGGGGGGTGGGGGCAGGGGATCAAAACTGATGCTTCCACAGAGCTCTGAACATATCCTGAATTCTGATCCACAGATGCAGCCTGCTGCTGTAAGTAATCGTCCTTAGAATCTGCCTCCAGTCTGCTGGGCTACCATTGGCATACTGCCTCCAGGCAGAAGCTATGCTGAAAGCTTCCATTCAGACTTTAGTTGATCTTACAATGAGTTTAACCAAACACCCATCACTTGCATGTGGATAGACATTCTGCACCCCCTACCCCCACTGAAGCCTTCCTCAAAATGGCTTAGGGGTGGGAGTTGATGGCAATAGCAAATTGCCAATGGCATGAAACAACACCCACCCACTTGCAGCCCACCTGATCAGCCTCCTACCCACTGTCTGAGTCTGTGGCTCAGCCTGGTATTGTTTTTACCAGATGAAGATGACCCCCACAGCTTTGATCCCCACTCTATGCTGAATTAATTGATTCATACCAATGGCTGCAACTGATATCAACTGTTATGGACCATTCCAAATCCCCTCCAAGTATATAAAGGGGATAACCTAGACCCTAATTTTAAAGGCAAGTGCCAGGCGTTGCATTCTGGATGCAATGAGATTGGTTAAACTACCAGTCTTGAAGCAAAACACATTTTATTCATACATTATTGTTAAAATACAACAAAAGAAATTGGAATAACATAACTATTGGAAAACTTAACAGAGTAATAGATTATTTAACTACTATTCAATAGCTGTTCTGATATAGTAACATCCCATAAACACAACTTTGGCAAAGGCAAATTTAGGAAAATAGATAGTCTCATGTACAATTCTCCAGTCCAGGAGGAAAAACACCAAGAGCGAAAAACTCAGAGAGAGTAGCATAGAGAGATGTACTGCAGCTTCCAAACCCAGCTTCAAGACCCCAGCAATTGCTACTGAAAAAAATAAAACTACAAATTCTGGCTCTGGGTGTGCTTGACTCCACCCATTCAGGCTGCTTCTATTGTTCCAACTTTAGAGAAAACCCCAAGGCCTCACAAACTGTTTACTTTATTGGCTTTGAAGCAGACTCCAACTTTCTTCACTAAACAAAAAAGAAAATATACTTCTTAAAGCCATAGTATTGTCACACAGTGCCCTTTTTCTACCAAGGGGAATAGAAAAGTCAACCAAAGTTTCCTTTCCTGAAAATTCTTCACTATCCTGACTGGAAATTGAATACACTGGGGACACAGGTTGAAAGTTGGTAATGAAAAAATCAACAGATTTTCCATGCTTAGGTTTTAGTCATGACGAAACATAGTTGGAGGGCTATTGGTAGCTTTATAGTGGTAACTGAAATGGTGTTAGTTCCTTCAGGGAAAGGAGAATTTTTAAGGGAAAATTGAGGCTTTAGTTGGAAGGTTTATTGCATCAATATGGCTGGACTTGATCAAAACAACATTGTCAAAGAACGCTATTCATGTTCAAAGATTATCAAAATAATTGTCATCATTTCAGTAATAGGAATCTTAATTTTTAGAATAACTTTTAGGTCAATCTGCCACGGATAGTCATAATCTTTGATTTCCATTCCCTGTTGCATTTTGTTACCTTAAGTTTTAGTTTCATCTCTAACTAGCCAGACATATGGTGGTAAGATGTGTCACAGGAAGTCCAGGTTGCCATGGTAACACATGTTTTACACACATTGCACCTATAGTTTGGAGATATGGCATGAGATAGTAGAGGAGGCAACATGGTTGACTGGGAATCTATCCCCTCCTTACCACCTGCTATTGGCATGTGTTTTAACGATTTACAAATTGCTGATCAACTGTATTATGCACACCTCTCCTTAGGCATAAAGTCGTAGGAACCTGGAGCTTTGAGCTCAGGAACAAAAACAGAAGTTGCTGGAAAAGCTCAGCAGGTCTGGCAGCATTGGTGAAGAGAAATCAGAGTTAGCATTTCAGGTCCCGGTGACCCTTTCTTAGAAGTTCTCCTTCACATAGCCAGGTACATATTATTGTGAACTTGACAGTCAGAAATTCTACAGAATAAAAATTAATCTGCTACATTCAGTGAATTTTTATAACAATTTTTTGCAGTTTATGGTTTTTAATGTATTTTCTTATGATCTGTATCCTCTTCTGCAGGGGGTCCATCGAATGAAAAAAATAACATCCTGAAAAAGTGAAACACTTGTCCTTTGGATTCAGCGTAGACACCATGCCAGTTCTGTTAACAGCAGCAGGTACAATGGGATGATTTCCTTATGTGAAAAATTGAAATTTCAAATTTCAATGAAGAGAGGAATCTAAGTTTCTCCCTTAATCCGTAAAACAGATTTTTTTAAAATGGAAGTTAAAATTTTAGCCATTTATTATATACATTCCCCTTGCATTTGATCTCCCAACATGCATCACCTCACACTTCTCTGGATTAAACTCCATCTGTCATTTCTCTGCCCAACTTTCCAATTTATCTGCTATATCTGTTGACAGCCTTCCTCCATATCTACAATTCCACAATTTTCACGTCATCTGCAGACTTACGAATCAGACTACTTACATTTTGATCTAAATTATTAATATACATTTCAAACAACAGAGGTTCCAGTACTGATCCTTGAGGAATGCCACTGGTCACAAACCCCCAGTCAGTAAAACACCCCTCCACAGCTACCCTCTGTTTTCAATGGCCAAGTCAATTTTATACTCAACTTACCAACTCACTATGGATCTCATTTGACATAATCTTCTGGACCAACTTACCATGAGGACCTTGTCAAATGCTTTAGTGATGTTCATGCAGACAACATCCAATACCCTACACTCATCAATCGTCTACATTACTTCCTCAAAAACTCAGATTTGAGAAACAAGACCTCCCCCACCCAAAGCCATGCTGATTATCGCATCAGTCAGCAGTGATAGTGCGGTAGGCCCCAGTTGATACTCCATGTAGATCGACAGGAGTGCTTTGGCAGCAGCATGTAGGCCCGATGTGGGGATTCCTGAAATTGACTGTGCGGCGAAAGTATAACAAAGGGGAGGAGATTGAGTCCCTGTAAGAAGTGTGGTCCCAACATGCCTAAGCACTTTCAAAAGACTTGACTTTTAGCTTTATTTCTTTACTTTTCCACTGTAATGTTTAACTTATAACTTTGTTCTTTCTTCCTACCTTGTTCTTATGATTCTATACCTAGGTACTTGTACCTAAGATGGCACCTTGTTTGGTGATATTATACACTTTTCACTGTATTCCTGTTCTTTTATACTTGAATACATGTGACAATAAAAATCTAAATCTAGTTCTTTTTTTTTCCCAAATGCAGGTAAATCCTATCGCTAGGAATCTTCTCTAATAATTTCCCTACCACTGATTGTAAGGGTCACTGGACTATAATTTCCTGGATTATCCCTGTTGTTTTTCTTAAATAAAAGGAACAACATTGTCTATTGTCCACTCTTCCAGAATTTCTGCTGTGGCTGAAGAGGATAAAAAGGCACATTTCAAGGCCCCAGAAATCTCCTCACTTGCCTCCCTCAGTATCCCGGGATAGATCTCCTAAAATTCTGGGAACTTACCGACCTTAATGTTTTTCAAGAAACCCTATATCTCCTCCTTCTTATTTCAACATGCCCTAGAATATCAACACACGCCTCCCTAATCTTACCATCATCCATTTCCTTCTTCTTGGTAAATACCAATGCAAACTATTCATTAAGGATCTCACCTACTTCCTCTGCCTCCACATAAATTCACTCTTTTGTCCTTGAGTGGACCTACCTTTTCCCTAGTTACCTCTTGCCCCTAACATATATCTATAAAATGCCTTTAGATTCTCTTTAATCCTTCTTGCCAAGGACATTCCATGGCCTCTTTCAGCCCTCTTAATTCCTTGTTTAAGTTATTTCCTGCTTCCTTTATATTCCTCATGGCCTTGTCTGATTTCAATTTCCTAAACCTTACTTATGCTTCTTTTTCCTCTTTGACTAAACTTTCGATATTTCTTGTCATCCAAGGTTTCCAAATCTTGTCATTCTCATCTTTCATCCTCACAGGAACATGCTGGTCTTGAACTCTGATCAACTGGCCTTTAGAAGACTCCCACATATCAGATGTCAATTTACCCTTAAACAGCCTCCCCCAATCTAATTTCTCCAGTTCCTGCCCAATACTATTTTCATGAGCCTTTTCCAATTTAGCGCTTTCACCCAAGGACCAGTTTTATCCTTAATCATTACCACTTTAAAGCTTATAGAATTATGATCACTATTCTCAAAACACTCCACTACTGAAACTTTGATCATCTGGCCAGGCACATTTCCCCAAGGCAAGATCTAGTACAGTACCTTCCACAGTTGGACTATTTAGATATTGCTTCAAGAAACCCTGAACAAATTCTGCCCTATCTAAGCCCTGGGCACAAAGGGAATCCAAGTAATATTGGGGCAGTTGATAGAGAGATGTTGGTAAGGGAACATGGTGGTGTGTTGAAGTGGCAAGCAACTGGAAGTTCAGGGTCACTTTTGCTGACAGAACGTAGGAGTTGTGCAAAGCAGTCGCTCAGTCTGCACTTCATCTTCCCAATGTAGGGGAGACCACATTGTGAACAATGAATACAGTAGACTAGACTGAATGAGGTGTACATAAATCACTGTTTCACCTGGAAGGTCTGTCTGGAGCTGTGGATAGTGAGGAGGAAGGAAGTAAACGGGCAGGTGTCGCACCTTCTGCGATTGCATGGGAAGGTGACATGGGTTGTGGAGACGTGTTGGGAGTGGAGGAGTGGGCCAAGGTGTCCCAGAAGGAACGATCTCTGGGAAAGACTGACAGGGGAGGGGAATGTGTGTCTAGTGGTGCCATCCTGCTGGGAGCGGCAGAATTGGTATCTTATGAACAAGGAAACATTCCTACTTTTTCTTCTTCTGACGGTAGTATTGACACATTAGCAACTTTCTTGCTAACTTCATCTGGATGCTGGGGTTAATTTTCAGTTGAGTTCTGGAAGGTAATTAGTTGAATTGTTAGTTGAATGTCTGTCATTAAAACTGTCCAATTTATCTTTCCACTAATATCAGTTTGATCGCCAGTACCAGACCATCATCAACAGCTTTACTCGCAATGTAAAATCATAATTATATGTAGCTATTGATTGATTAATTGACCATTGAGCAATATAGGCAAGATTAATGTGGTCCTCATTCAGAATTCCCACACTTCCAGCTTGGCACCACTGGATAATTGCAATCGTAAAGAATCTTTTTCAGCCCAAGGACAATTTTGACACCTCCATATTAACATTTTGACCTCACTGACTTATCCACTGAGCAGTTAAGACAGAGTCAAAATATTGTTTTGAAGGATTTAAATGTATATATCATGATATCCCAATGTGTATTGCAACTGATGGATTACTTCTGAAATGCAATCTTTATTATTAAAGTCCATCCGTGCACAGCAAGATCCCATATACAAAAGTGAGATAATTGGCTAAATAGTCTGTTTTTAGTCAAACTATAGGTAGCATTGAAGTTTGAAGTATCTTTCCAGGGAGACAGCAATGCAAAGATAATGCAACAATTCCTCAAGAATTAGTACATACTGAGGTCAGTTGTGGGGCATTACCCCACAGACCTGAGTCTGCTATCACTGACCATAATACAACAGGCAGGGCTAACAGATAATGTAATGCCTGTGGAGAAATCAAACCATCATAGATGGAAAGAACTGTGTACTTTACAAAGTTAAAAGGTCATGCCATAGATTAAAACACAAGTTTAAGGTTAAATTAAAATCTCAATTCGGAGATGCTAAAAGACAAACTTTAACTTCAGATTTACAAAAACCTCCTTAGGACTTTTGTCCTCAACGAGTTGTCAGATGAGAGTAATTAAATCAGCCAATTAATGAAGTACAAGAGTAGAGGTCAAAAGACAATGACTACAATCGTCCCAAGTGATTAATGCATTTTTCTACTATGTTTACAGCTGTATAAATAGGATCTAATTGAATGCGAGGAGAAGTCCCAAATTTTCAACTTTTAGAAACATGAAATATTAACTCTTGTAAAATAGAATGTTTGTAATTTCAAAAGGAGAATATTCAGCAGAAAGAATTAATATTTCAGTGTCAGAAGGTGTTAATTTGTAAATAAATTCTAAAATTACGCTTGATACAGAAATGCAGCTTTGCCTGAACACTTTATAGAAAGTATTTGGCCTTGAGAGTTTAAATTAATAGCTAAAGTCTATTTTCAATTTTAATTTTATTAAGATCTAATCTTGATTTTGTGATAGGATTTCCAATTTCTGCTCCCCCATCTCTGAGTGATATTTGTTTGGATTCTATTCGAGTGGTTGATCTCAGCTGGATAGTAACAAAGATCATTATGAATGCAACTGAAACACTCAAGGAAAATGAATGCTGTTTGGCAACCTAATGTGTCTATTTCTAAATTACAAATTCTACTGAAGATGAAGTGTCACATTTTGCTATACCATGGTAGCTTACACGCTTTACACCATCCAATTCCCGCTCCGCGTGTTTACCCAAAATAAACTGTCCCAATTACTGAGTTCCACTGGCTTGAAATGTGTGCATTGTCACTCACCAAATGGATAAATAATTGAGTATAAGACACAAACCAGCTTTAACCAAAAGACATGTCAATATTTGTCAGACAATTCACCAAATTTCTCAAAGTAGGCACTCAATGTAAACACTGAAGGATCACAAGTCTGTTGGCATGGTTGGATTCAGTCTAAAATACTGCTGCGTATAAGTATCAAAAAACAATTTGAGTAATAGAATTCGACTATGAACTTCAAGTTCTTACCTTTCCACAAATACTTCATGTCAGTCTTGTTTCAGTGTGGGCATTCTTATTGTGTCAGAAAGTCATGACGACAAATGCTGTAGTATAATTGGTTACTGGGTGATGAATGAAACAGAGTCTACCTCATCACAGGAAGTGATGACATGACTTTGCTATCTCACAGCCTCATGGAAAGATGATGTTGTAGTTAGATATTTGTATTGCTAGTTATGTTCTTAAATGAAAGTTGATTTTTTTTAACCCGACAGCACAATTTGCAGATATTCCTTAGCAACACAAGACCAAGTGTATTAAAACAGAGCTTGTTGTTGCTACCTTATAAGTCCAACTTCAGACTCTTGAGCAAACAATATAGATGAGCACAAGATGGTGCCTTTAGATGAATTGTTAAACTAAGGCCCAAACCAGCA